CCATCTTTTTCGAACTTTTATGTACTTCAGTTAACACAAGCATAGCCCATGTCTATACATATTATTTTGTTTACGCATTCGTTGAAAACTTCATTTTGACACCTACTGTACAGATGGACATAATATGTATAAGTAGGCTTCCTTCCAGTCGTCTGTAAAAAACTTAATTCGCGAGGCCCGCGATCGCGTCATCAATGCCAAACAGTCGACGACTTTTTTGTGCTAACGTCAGCAATTTGGCATCGCTTTCGATGCGGTCAAATTCGAATAAGCAAACACTGGCTACGTATGTATATATTTATGTAAATATGTATATATAGAAGTGTGCTTTTGGCAGTTAGAATCGTGAAAAAAGTGAAAAAACATATAATGGAATTTAAAACAAAGACGATATCTACAAGTGAACTAATACATTTAAAGGAATAGCGGTATCCCTGCAGGAAATTTATCTCATTATAAGATAACTTAAAGTTTATTAGGAAGGAACTCAAGGTTACTATTATCTGTATATTTTCCTTGAGGAAATCTAACTGAATTTCAATGGCAATTTTCCCGAAATAGCCAAGGGTGGTTACCTTTGCATTAGACGTCAACTAACTTGTAACTAACTACTTTTGGACACACAATATCAATAAGAAAAACGATTTTTTTTTTAATTTTTTTACTTGATTACTTATTTACATACTTTATTTAGCATTACATATTTGTTTACATATTCTGCTGTAAGTAGTCCCATATTCGAATTCCGTCCGACATAAATTAAAAATGTTAATAATAAAAAATTCGAAAAAGTATTTGTGAAGTGCAGAAAAAAAGTGTATTCAGAGCAAAATTTGTATGAGGATATTTAAATATAAACATGTTTAAAGAAAACAATCTTCCGATTACTTATGCATGACTCCTGCATTACTTTTCAACTAGTTTCAAGTTAGCCTTTTGTAGCTAACTACAAGTTACAAAAAGTGTTTTTAGTCGAAAATGGAGGCACACTTCTCTTTGAAAATCCATTATCTTCCATTTTGTATAAAGATATACTAAATAAAGTTAAAATAACCACTCGTGCTCATATAGCCGTTTTGGCGTATGTAACGTATACGCCGCGTAGCACCACACGACTCAACCTAGAGGTCATAGGCGGTGTTGCCATTTTAGCTATTTTCCAGCTAAAATTATCTTTTTTATTTGGGTTTAGCCGGAAAAACACTGTTTAGCTTCTTGCTTTCTTTAGCTTTTTATTAAAATTATTTAGCTTTTACTTTTGTTAAAAATATTAACTGAAAATTTAAATAGTGTTAAAATGCTTAATGCGATTTTTAGAGGCTGCGTTTCTTTATACATTCCGGATAATCCCATTTCACAGCCGGAATAAACAGAATGCGTTTTGAAATATACGTTAACATATCATCAGGAACATTCTAAAGAATAAGTAAACAAAAAAGTTTATTCCAAACGTTCAGAATGAATAAAAAAATGCAGCCAGAGTCAGGTATGGAATGAAAAATAATGTCAAATGTCATGATATTTTACATCGGTGGAGAAAGGCTTCGATTTTATCAGATATCTGCGTGGGTAGAGTGGTTTTGGGACCCCCTCTGAGGTACCACCTTTTTTTCTTAAATAATAATAGAAATGGGTTAACGTGGTCGTCAGAATATTTTTTTTTGTATGCTACCGCATAACTTTGGACCACCAAGGTGTTACCTCACAGTTGGTCCCATACTAAGTTGGTTTAAATCCGATCATGGATGATGAAGAAATTAACGATAATCTTAAATTTTTATGTGAGAATTGAAGTTTTGTTTTTTGCTTAAAAATTACTTGTGTTTTTTTCTGGAACTCCATTGACTGCAATAAATGCAAGGAGAACGCTTTAGCGGCTTTTTTCTGGCGAGAGAAGGAAATGATACTAAAAAACAACTCGTGAGATTTGCTCATATGCATATGTATTTTCGTACATTTGTTTACATACATTCGGGTGTCTCAAAACTCACTCACCAAGGCGTTGCCTTTCTATGTGTAGAGGCTTTTACGATGTATGTATGTACGTACATACATACATAGCTACTTTGCAAGTCTTACAATATGGCTCACATGATCACTAAAGGGTGTTATCTGACATCAGCTGACTGCGATATGCGCGAATTTTTCCCACATATGATAACTTTTTTATTTATGTAGGTATTCATTTCTGAAAAAAAAA